TCCAAACACTGTCACCATGGAACCTCCAGACCTGATGGGTAAGGACAGGCCTGAGGGCTTTGCTTCTCCAGTGCAAACTCTTAAAGGGATATGCAGGAATTTGGAACTGTTTCCCTAAGTTTTACCTCCCTCCCCCACCACAAACACCACAAATGTGATCCATAGCTGAGGCCAGACTCAAGAGCCCTCAAATCCAAGACCTTATTTCTGAAGGGATGCCAAGGGAAATAGAGATGTTGTTTTCCCCTAATGCCAACTATAAGAGTCAAAGGCATACCCACGAAATCCCTAAACACATCCATCTTGATGGAATGCTCACAGGTCATGGTTGCAGCTGCTCCTGCTTCTTTCTTGTACAGCAATTAGAGAATCTTGTGTCCTGAGTGTTGGGAAGAGCACCCATTAATTAGGCTGAAGGCTCCTGTTTTGCAGAGCCCCTGGGGCTCAGTGCTGGTCTGGGCTGTCTAGTTCCATACTCTTCATGAGTCAGACCTCAGCCTCCTCCCTACTCCTGCCTCCAGTTCTCCAAATGACAAACCTCTGGCAGGACAGCAGCCACTGGCCCTGAACCTTGGTCACTTTGCTGGCTCTAGATGCAATAGCAGCAAGAGAGGTGTGTTCATTCATTTCTTCCAGCAGATATCTGTGAGTGTCAGTATGTGCCAGACATCGTGCTGGACTAGGGATAAAGTGGTGAGTTCAATCCAGTCCCCACCTGTGCAGGGCTCACAGATCAGTTGAAAGGAGGACTAAACTTTCAGTATGAAGTAGGAGAGATGGTGGCTCAAACCACTCTCAGAAGGACTAAAAGGGGTCCCTGAAAAAGAACATCCACACCAAGGTGGGAAAGGGGAGGGGACATGAGGCAGAAGGGAAGGAGGCAAGAGAGTGCCCTGGGCCAAGGGTCAACTATGCAAAAGCTAGAGGCAGGAGGAAGCCAATGAGAATAGAGCACTTAGCTTCAGCAGTGCTAGGGAGATAGAGCCAGGGAAGTAGATAGGGACAAGACCCTGAAGGCCTTAGAAGTGGACGAGTATAGGAACTCAGGACTTGGTCCCAAGAGCAGTGGAGCACCACAAAAGAATCCCAATGGTTGGGAGAAGCACTAGATATTCAGGCAGAGCCAGAATCAGCACTAGTTTAGGATTTGGAGGCATATCAAGAATACAAGGCTCAGTCCTTAGCTTCTAGAAGCTTATCAATGAACACATCACATGGACTGGGCAGGGTACTACAGCCAAGAAGTACGTAATGCATGCCCAAGACACACAGGCACTAAGATTTGGAGCAGAGTAGGAACTCACAGTCAACCAAGTACTCTGTGTCTAGGTCTGACCACCCAATATCTGACTTTTCATTTACCTCAAATGGCTTCTGTTATCACCCCCATTTTACAGATGAAAGACCACGGTTAACAGGTTAGCATTCATGTTATGTAAGCGGAGGGTGGTATGCAGCCAGTGCTCTTCCTTCCCCTTCATGCAGTCTTCCCTGAGTGTGGCCTACAGGTTGTGAGAAAAGCTTTGTGGAGGAGGGAAAGTCTATAGAGTTGGATTGGTGTTCCATGTGTCCACTGCCATCTCTCAGGATGCACAGTGCAACTAAGAGGCTGGTATTTGGGTACTTGAGAAGGCATATGGGCTGAGTGAGGACCAGGATACACATTGTCTCTGTGAATCTGCCCATCAGAATCTTGGCATTTGAGTCTTGTCACTGCTTTGTGAGAGATGCAGCAGCATTGCAAGAATGAAGTTAATGAAAAGGAATATAATCCTTTCCAAATTTGGGAGGGCTATGCTGCCTACATGCCAGTAATAGGGGGTAGAGGCTGCTGTGGAAAGCTTCTGAAGCCTCTAATGTTAAAAGTCAGTCATCCCCTGTGGGGATGTTGCTTATTTAAATTGGAAATGGATAACTGACATGCACCAATAATGTCCTAAGGAAAATAGGGTAGGGGCCAAGTTGTGCAAGGGGATTGGAGAGCCAAAGTTAAAAAGAATGACATACTCTGGGCAAGGGATATAGCTTGGTGTGGAGTGCTTGCCTAGCATCCTTGAGGCCCTGAGTTTGATTCTCCAGATGACCTGCAGTGTAAAAAATAAAAAGTAAAGAATGGCATACTTTCTTGAATACCACAGGTGATTTCTGGGACTCATGAGAAACCCTGAGCTGAGCTAATTGGCTCTCCAAGACCATAGAGGTAGAGGTCTAGGAACAACATCCCTAGCTGTATTGACTGAGCCTGCCTCACTGGTACACAGTCAACAAGTTGTGAAATTTGGAAGTCCTGTAGAATCCAGCCCCATCACTATGCCCAGTTGACCTCGGGAAAGGAAGCCAGTGTCTATAATTACTAGACACTAATCAGTCACTAATGACTGATAGGTGAAGTGACAATTATGCAAACAAGAAGAGCCAATGGTAGAGATTTATGGACTTTCTGAAGTTCTTTACAGCCCTCATTAGTGGCTAGTTGAGAGGGCATACCAGGGAGGAGGCATTCCGACCCAAGCATACCAGAGACTTGCTATTCATGGCCCATCCTTAGCAATGTCACAAATGGAGTTTTCTTCCTACCCTAGTCCTTTCCCCAGCCACCCCCCTCCAATAGCCAGCGTGTGTCACCGCAGGGACTGGCTTTGTTCCTCTCTGAAGTCACTCTCCGCACAGGGCCTCCCTTTTCCTCTGGTTCTGTACATGCTGGAGAAGAACAGCGAGTCCTGCCCCTCCTGCTAGGCCAGCCCTCCTGGCACAGACCACAAGCCACTTCTGAGCTTTCTATCTCAAGGGGCAACACAGACGTCCTGCAGCTGCAAATCCTGTTTCTGGAAATCCCTTGGGTTTTCTGTGTCTCCCCCTCTGTCCTCCTTCCGCAATCTCTGAGACCTGAACTATGCAGATCAAGCCCAGAGAGAGCACAGCAAGTAGGAATGGGAGCTGAAGGACCAGAAAGAGTAGCTCATCTCTGTTCTGCACCACCTATGATTCTGTTCAGTCTAGGCCATCTAAAAACGGATCCCCTGCCAGCTCCCTGGCCCCTGCCACCAACTCTCTCCCCTATTCACAGCTCTTTCCCACCATGTTTGCCTGTGGTAGGCCTTTCTAGTTTTATGTTAGCCTGATGGCTTTTCCTAAATGTCTCCTGCTTGAACTTGACCTTTTCTCCAGTACCCAGATTTCCAGACATTTCATACCATAGGAGGCAGCTTGCCAATCCCTGGATTTGAGTTCTAGATCTGCTCTTTCCTGGTCAGGTGACTCTGGCCAAGTCACCAACCCTCTTCGAGTCACAGTTTCCTTAACTGTAAATTTGGGATCATGCCTGTTCCATGGGTCAAATGAGTGAATGAATGTGAAGATCCTTTGTAAACCCTGAAGCTTTCCCAGTACTGCAGTACTCTGCTCTTGGGAGAGATGGTCATAAACTATTCTGGGGAAAGAAAAAGTTTGTGTCAAGTTTAGGGAAGGCTAGCTTGAACAAAATGGACTGGGTTTCTTTACCCTAGAACTTGTCACAAATTTAAATTTGCTCATATGCATGGCAAAAGTGCAAAAGCAGAGTACAAAATACAGTTTCAAAAGCACTTTTTTCATGGACTACTTATTAACATCTTTTAGGTTACTGATTTCCTCAGGGCATAGCGTGTAGTAATATTATTCTTCCTATAGGTAATAATGCTAATCTTTCCATATGATGTGTTCCATCATCCAGGTCACTTATCTTAGGTAGTACCAGTTCCTCAGTGTCTGAAAAGTACTGCCTGGAACATCTCCAACTTTCCAACCACTGTACTTGTGCTAAGGGATGCAGGCCAGGCATTGAAGGCTCCTGTGGTTAGATTCCAGCCTTACCTCCCACTATCCCCATGCTAGACTCTGCCCCAGGCAACTTGGAAAACCCATTGTCCTGAGTATACATCATTTATGTTTCTGCCCCTTTATCCCATCTTTCTCCTTGTAAGGTGCTTTCCTCCCATCTCTACCAACACAATTGTAGCCTGTTATTCAGTCTCCTGGCTTCTCTATGGAAGTTTTTCTGACCAAGGCAATGCGTTCTAGGCAGGAACACTGCCTTCCCAACTTAACTGTAAGCACCGAAAGGCAGAGAACATTGTTTAAAATTCCTGATTTTCTCAAAAAAGCAGGATATGTTTGTGGAATGATTGATTGCTCCCTATGCCCTGCCCCCATGCCCCAGAAACCATAAACCACACATTCTTGCTCTGCAAACTTGAGCCTCCAACTAGGCCTGGATCTTTCTGAGCTGAGGAGTGAGCAGGGGGGTTTCTCACTTCATTCAATAAATGCTTATTATAGCACGACTGCTAGAAACCCAAGGTTGAATAAGATAAGGAGTTCATGGGTCAGACAAAAGCATAAACACGTTGTGGGAAGACTGATTTGCCTCACTGAGTATTGGGTGTAATAATGGCAAAAACAAAGTCATTGTGTGAGCAGGTGGGAATCAGGGCAGGTTCCTCAGAAGATGAGCCCTTCCCTCAGCCCATCTTCCTACTCACAGAGATGTCCTATGAGGCAGACAAGGCAAGGCTAGGGTCTGCCTCTAGCGAAGAAAGAACACTGGAGACTTTGTAAGAGGTAGATTGAAGAGTGTCCCCTGGTCACAGGGAGGAAGGGCTTGATGGAGGTGGATAATTATGGCAAGTGCTACAAGGAGATGTGAGACAGGTGTGACACACATGCATGCACACACACACACATACATACACACACACAGTCTGTGGAAATCCCACTTCCCTGCTTTTCCATCATACCCACACACCCTTCTTCTCACCTTGACTCATTCTTCCTCTCCTTCTCTGTCACCTCCCAGTCCTGGGGCCATCCATCGTTACCTCATTGGAACAGCCCCGTGTCTGCTCCCAGTAGCTAGAGGCCCGCTTTGGCGAGAGGCCGGTCAACTTGATGCCTACTCCCTGTGGGGGGCCCCCAGGAGGAAGGTCAGCCTCGACTCAGTGCTTTCTCTTTCCTTCCAACAGAAAACCAAAAGAGACGTCAATAACTTTGACCAAGACTTTACCCGGGAAGAGCCAGTACTCACGCTTGTGGATGAAGCAATTGTGAAGCAGATCAACCAGGAGGAATTCAAGGGCTTCTCCTACTTTGGCGAAGACCTGATGCCCTGAGAAGCCACTCCAGGTGGAGTTGGCTGATGCTGCAAGGAGGGTGCTGAGAAGATCCTGTGTTACAGAGGCTCAGAAGGTCTCAAACTTCTCCTCCCCTGCCCCCAGAAACCCAGTCCCATGTCCACTTTCTATTTATTACATTCCCCCACCTTAGGCCACCTCCTCCCTCATCCTCCTGGTGACCAGAGGGCACTCTCAGGTCTTGCCTCACCAGGAATACAGACTCAAGTTGGTCAGCAGGTAGCTGTTCACACTGCCGTGTTTGGACTGTCCGTCCACAAGCCTGGTTCCATTCCTGGGGCTCCTGGCCTTGAAGTGACTTTAGTTCTTTTACCACAAAGAAAAAAAATCCAACAAGAAGACTCTGGCTCTGCCATTGGATGTAGAATCCTGACACCTGTTGCTTCTCATCCTTCCTGTCCCCTGGGCTACCATCCCTGCCCTTCTGCCCAGAAGAGACTGGTGCTTCTTCCACATGAGGGCAGGTGCCTGGAGGCGTGCCCTTGATGGAGGGAGCCTGAGAGGTGCACGAGCTGGCTCGCTGTGTCGGTTTGCTCAAGAATGGCACATTCTTGCTTCCTTTGGTTTTAGCTTTTGAGCATGCCAAAGTTATATAATTTTGCATCTCATGAACGAAATCATTCTTTGTGGAAAAAATAATTTTGATTTTGAACTCTATTAACATTTGAAAAAATGTTACCAGATTTGCTTTCTAATTGACCAAACAATAGAAGTTCCACTATGAATACAGGTAGATATTAAAGGGCTAATATACAGTGAGAATACAGTCTTTCAGGGTTTATGTTGACAAAGCTTTAGTGACACAAGGGCACTATATGAATTGAGAGGAAAGGAAGCAACTAGTGCTCCTCATTGTTAAGGCCACAGCCATGGCCGACATCCTGGGGTGGTAGCAAAACTCAGCTCCTAAATTCTTTTTCCAGTTTCGTCCTAAGTCCCCAGAATAAATGCTATTTATTTTCTACAGCAGTGTGTTATTTTTGCACACTTCTACAAAATTGTAGTACTACTGTGATGTGGTTTTAAAACATTAAACATGTAAAGTTAATGATGAAACATCTACTTTTGGAACAAGAGGAATGAAACTCAACATGGGTCAGGCAGAAGGTGCCAGGAAAATGAAGAACCACCAGTTTGAGAACTGACAATGTAGCAAGATGTGCCTGGAGTTTTGTTTCTGCGTGACATGTGACTAGCAACTCATGTGGACACCATTTAATGGACATAATATTACCTCCTGTAGATATGCTAACAGTGTTACACTCTGATTTTCAAGGATTCTCTGTGGCTTTGTGTATATGTTTCCCGGAGGTCATTTGATTACCTATTTTATTAAACTGATTTAGCAGGAATGGAATCCATTCCAACCGTTGCACGTGAATTTCCCAGCTGCCCCTAAATATATATACTTGTGAGTGGCAAAGTGGCACTAATGAAGCTTTTTGCCTTTTGTACATTTGAGATTTTTGTATATAGTGTTTGCTGCAAGGCCTGTGGAATTAATTCATTGAATATAGAGGTATCAACTGCTGCATGTTCAGGCATATTATAAAACTTTAGTCTATGAAAGAATAATTATAATAATGTCCAGGTGCAATACTCTCTAAGTGTATTGGTTCAAGTTACCGAGAGATAGGTGTGTTCCTTCCTTTGAGGGGTTTGGAGCCCTTTATATTGTTTCATTTTGGCTTAAAAGATGTAAACATATATTAATCTAGGTTGAATCTCACATAATTTCTCCTGTGCTCTATTATGCCCTGATAGAAATGGGGGAAAGAAAGGAATGTTCTCAATGGTGGTTTCAAAACTTGGACAGTGACTATTTTGAGCCCATAGAAAGTGTGTTCCTATTTGCATCAGACTGGTCACAGCTCTTATTACTAATGAGATATTCAGTTCTCTTTTGCTTTTATTTTTTTTAAAACTCAGGTGTAACTATGATCTGTTCTTATGATGATTGCAAATATTAAATATTATGCTGTATCAGTCCGTGTATTGGCATACCAGTGAAGTGATGAAGAACATTAATTTATCTTCGGTAACTTGGCATACTGGGGGCAGACTATCTTCTGGAGTGGAGTACAAGCACAGCAACATCTTCATGGTGGCATCATCTCATTTTTTAGGAAGACATGACAAATACGCCCATCATACTCATGCATAACTACTGCTTTCTCTCTTTTTCATCTGCTTCCTTCACCATTATGAACTTTGGACAACTGAGCCAGCTCCAACTGCAGTGCCAAGTAGCCTTGTCCCAGGGCTTAGTGGTGTTCACATGGTGGCAGGGGTTAGACCCTTCCTCCAGGACAACTGGCACTTTTGCTGGGAAGTTAAACAATACATTCCACCTGCAGCTCTAGGCACTCAGCCAGACTGGCTCCCTTTTGCACCCAAAGCCCAACTGGCCGGGATGTCACCGGCTGATGAAGTTCTCATATAGGCAGATATAAATCCAGTGGAGACCTACAGAAAAAGGCTTGTGTGTTCCTTGGGTGTTCATTGTTTCTTTTCATTTTCAACAGATTTGGGGCACAGGGATGCGACTCAGTGGTATAGTACTTGCGCAGCATGTGCGAGGCCCTAGGTCTGTGTTCCTAGTATCACAAAAAAAAGTTTGAAACTAGACACACTGTTATGTTTCTGCAGTTCTTTATAATCCTCCCAGCTCTCTCTCTCTCTCTCTCCCCGCCCCTTCTCTCTTTTAAAGAAAAAAATGAAGTGCAAAAAAATGCCAAAAAATATATGAAGGATAGCTGTTCTCCTGTGTTATAATTAAGGACTTTGTGAAGTGGAAACATAATTTTTCCTCCAAAGGTGATAAAACAATGCATTCTTGCTTTAAAAAAAATAAAAGAAGGCTAAAAAATTACCTCTTTTTAAATTATGTGCAAAATAATTCTGGCTAAATATAAAATGTATTCAATTTTAGGGGTTTTATTTTGTATTGTGATGCTTTATTTGTACACTTTTTTCCTTTCTGGATGTAATTTTAATCTCTTGCCATTCATTAGTGTTATTTCATTGTAAACATTATTGTGCCAAATGTACTGTATTCAAAAGGATGTGAATGTGTATTGTTTCAGAACCTAATAAATACGATGACATTAAATCTTACTTCTTGATGCCTATAAGGCTTTCTATCTTCTTTATGAGTAGCAAAGGAGAACCAGTGAAACTTTTTGCCTTTTATACCATAGAAATTCCAAAATTCCAAAACCCTGGCTACCTGGGCATGGAGGGAAACCATCCTGTCCACCTGAGGGCTCTGGGAGAGGTCACCTGCGTTTTGGTCTTTCCAAAGAAGCATGTGCTATACCTCCTTGAAACTAAAGCCCATTCAAATCTCCTTAGAACTCAGTTTCTGGCTTGCTGCTCCCAACTGTGGAGGCCAGGACACTCCTTGCAGCTGAGAGTTCTTTGCAGGCAGATAGCAGTAGGACTCTTGTTTAGCTCCCGCCCACTCCCTGGCCCAATCATTCTAGTGACACCTGGGTTCTGCCAGTTTTTCCTTTCTTCTGGACTCCTTTTTCTGCCATTCCATTCATGTGGCCCTAGTACTATAAGATTTCTCTTCTTTCTCCCACACAGACAAGAATGTTTTATTGTTATTGTTATTTTTGCTGGTGGTTTTTACTTTTCTTTTTCAACTCTGGGATGGAACCCAAGGCCTTCTGCATGCTAGGCAAGAGCTCTACCACTGAACTACATCCCAGCCGGGAAGAGTGTTTGAAACTAAAAATTGTGCTGTAGAATACATCAGAAATTTTGATTAACCAGCACTCCCTGTTCATTACAAGTTACAGAAATGATTGTACACTTACTATTTGTTACCTTAAAGTGAAAAGATAGCCTAACTTGTCACCCTTTTAGCCCACAAAATCACTTTGTATTATTATGATGATGCTTATTGCAGTGCTGGTGATCAAATCCAGGGTGTTGCACATATGTCAGGCAAGTAACTCTATCACTGAACCACACTTCTAGTCCCAACTCACTTTAAAGTCCTCCATGGACTTTAGCATGCCATCCTGAAAGCCCTTCCCACCCCCTCTCTCTCAGCAACATGGCCTGCCTACCTGAAGACGTGGAAGCATGGATCTCCAGATCCACCCCAAGGAGAAGGGTGTGTTTATCACATATTTTCCTCTCTGATTCAGTCAGCTGCTTCTAGGTAAGTGACCACCCAAAGAGAAGCAAACTTCCCACCAGCTTATCTGTCTTATCATGAGTTTAAACAAAAATCAGGAGAAGCATCCACCTCAGAGAAGGAGAGAGTTACGTGTGGTGGTTGCTGGGGCTTGGGAGAGCAGCAGGGAGAGGTAATGGGGAGACGATGGGCAAGGAGGAGTAAGTCCTAGACACTTAGCAGACAGCCTGGAAATTTAGCCAATAATATACACTTGAAAATTGCTAAGCGAGAGCTTAAATGTTCTCCCCACAAAAAAATGGTAATCAAGAGGCTAGATGTTATTTAGCTTGATTTAATCATTTATAATGTACACATATATCAAAACATCACAATGCATACACCATAAACACACCACAATTTTTATTTGTCAATCAGACCTTAAAACTGAGAAAAGGAGAAACAGAAGGGAACTCGGGGCTAGGATGTGACTCTGTGATAGAGCACTTCCCTGACATGCACAAAGCCCTGGGTTCCATCCCCAGTGCTGTTAAGAAAAAAAAAAAAAGGAGCCCTTCCTGGAAGTCAGAAGACATCTCCAAGCATCCCCTGAAGGAAATATGGGTTCCAGGGGAGTCATGGCCACGGATAGATGGCTCCAGAGCTGCTGCAGGAGAGACTGTCTGGGTGTCTCTGCCCCAAGCCAAGAAACAGCTTGTCTAACAGATTTTGTGCAGGGCGAATTTATGGGAAGGTCGTCCCTTCCTTATTTCCCTATTTTCCTGAGTACAGGCCAGCATTTGCGTTACCAGTAGTCTGAAGGTACCTCGTGATGGGCTTGCACAGCCACTAAGCATGTCGCACCAGAGTGCTTGAAGTGCAGAGTGGCATAGAAAGAAGGCTTAAAAACCATGTTATGAAAATTGTAGTCTAGGTTTTATTATGACATGCTTTATCCCAATGATATTACAGATTGGCATATTAGTTTTAAGCTACACCTGAAGGATGATCAGCTGTGCTAATTAGGAATCCATCCTCCAACTGACCAAACAGGCAGCACTGACTCCAAACAGCTACGGGTGCTACAGCTCAGATTTTGCTCCCACCGCACCTGGAGGCTTTGCTTTAGCACAGAGAGGGCAAGAAAAGAATTTCCTGAGGAAAAATGGTGGGTCATTAGTTAGCACAAAAGATGTTGGAAAGGTGGCATTAGTGGTGTTTGAGATGAGTATAAGGCAAAAATATTTCAAGACAAGTCTCCATGTTTAAAAAAATAGGATATAGGAACCTAGAGAAATTCAACTTTCCTAGTAATCAGAAATGCACATTTAAGTCAAACTGTAATAGTACCTCACACCTACCAGAATGACTAAATCAAAAAGGCAGACATAAGACGTGAAGCAATGGGAACTTTCAATGTCTCTGCCTTGAGTATGAAGAGGTCCAAGTACCCTGAGAAACTTTGGCAGTATTTACTAAAGCCAAATACATATGCCCTTGACTAAACAGAAAAGCCTATGAATGGGGGAATGAATTCGGAATATTCACACAATGAAACACTATATAGCCATGAAAAGGAATGACTTTCAACTACATGACAGGTGAATGGCACAACACAATGCAAAAGAAGTCAAACAGTGAAGAGTACACGCTGTATGGTTCCATGTATATAAAATTCAAAGGCAAGCTCTTCTGCTAGAAACCAGGCCAGTGGTGAGAAAGAGAGGTGGTGACTCAGACTGGGCACAGAGGGCTTCTGGGATGCTCATTCCATTGTGTGTCTGAACTGAGAGCTGACAAATAGGTGGGTTCACTTTGTGAGAATTCATTGATTTTATCCTTATAATCTATGCTCTTCTCTGTATGTGTGTTATACTTCAATAAAATATAGCCTAGAAAACCTGGAATGGTCTTTTGCTGTGCTTGAATGTGGTTTGTCCTCTCTGAAATACCTGTTGAGATTTGATTGCCACTGTGGTAGTGTTGGGAGGTGAGGCCTTTCAGAGGTGATTAGGTTGTCAATGAAGCATTCTTAGGCCAGCAGTGAGTTATCTCCAGATAACTACTGATTTTCTCATCTGTGTGAGCTTGCCTGTTCTTTCTCCTTCTGCCAAGTCATTGTGCCCTCTCCAGATGCTGCTGCTGCACCCTTAGACTTCCAGCCCCTCATATGTGAGCAAAATGAACTTTTTCTTTATAAACTACCCTTTATAAGTTAGTCTCAAGTGTTCTGCAACAGAGTTGGTAAAAGGACTAAGATGTCCTTGTCTTTTTCCTTGGGGATGGCACCCTAGACTGACCCCGTGACCGGCCTTTGTCTCATCTTATCTTGAAGATACCTTGGTTGCCTAACTCCCATCCACAGCCTGATCCAGGGGCTGGATGGAACAGGGTTGAGTTTGCTTTGGTGGGCCTTTCCTGTGAGTCACTGTCACAGAAAGCTGGAACTTCATGGAGCTTTCAGAATAGTCATGGACTCCTCATGCTAGCTTGCTAATGAAATGCCTGGATGTGACTCCGTTTCTTCAGTGTGGTAGGGAGTAGTTAAGCTACTCCCTAAGATTTACCAAGAGCTGTGGATGTAGCTCAGTGGTACAGCATTTGTCTAGCATGCATAAGACCCTGGGTTCCAGCCCAGGGCCTGGGCATGGTGGTACACACTTATAATTCCAGCACTTCCCTCAGAGGTAGAGGCAGGATGATCATGAGTTAGCATTTAGCCTTAGGTTATGTAGGGACTTCAAGGTCAGTCTGAGCTACACAGAGATCCTATATCAAAAAAGAAAGGAAAGACCAGTTGTCAGGCATAGTGGTACAAATCTATAATCCCAGCATTCAGGAGGCTGAGCAGAAGGGTCTCAAGTTGAGACCAGCCTGGGCTACACAGCAACATCCTTCTCAAAAAAAAATCTGTCCAAAACAAACAAGAAATTTCAGGGTATACATGACAACATTGACTTAGGGAGCCAACAAGAAGCAAGGTTGAGCAAGTAACAGTACCTTTCTAAGCCCGTTTCTGTGTTTGTAAAACAAGATCTACCGCTCAAAGGCCTGATGTAAAACATTAGTGAGATATGACACTTCCAGGCAGTGTCTGGTACCATTGCTATGACTCTCCTCCTTAAGCCACACACACCCTCTTCTTGGTCAGTGCACCGCCTGAATCACAGGAACATGTGGCCTGCAGTAACAAGGGCCACTTTTGCTCTGATTGGTTTTCCCCATTCCCTGAATGTCCTGCCCTTCAGCACTCCATACCCTCCCTGTAGGCCCCTCTCTGGAGCCAGAAGGGGACAAAAGCATCTAAGATGAGGTCCTGGCCCTTAGCAAACTTATAAGCGGCAGGAGATGAGACAGGCCTGATGCCGGAGAGGAGCCTAAGGCAGACAAGAGAGACCAGTGGCACTGGGTTGGTGTGCTCATCAAGACAGGCTTCCTGAAGGAGGCAATCATGGGTGGATACTGAGGATGAGTAGGATATAGATAGGCATGGGGCAGGGAAGGGACTTGCAGGTGGTTCCGCAGCTTTGCATGACTTGGAAGTGCTAAGACCTGGAAGGATTTGATTTCCAGGGCAGTACTGCAGCAGCCTTCCACTTCCTTTCTCAACATGAGATTGTGTAGGGCCAGGGAATTGTTTAAAGTGGTTTGATGATCTTTGCAGATGGGACTATCTCTGGGAGAGCCCAGCCCACCTCCTCAATAAAGTCATCTTTGTCTTTGGAACAGTTCGTGTGCCACAGCTTCCTGTCCCTGAGTGGATCAGGTCAG